AGCAGCACCTACAGCCGCTTGTACAGTGAATATTTACAGAATATAACTGGAGCAGAGTGGCAACGCAATGAGAGGACTGACTTTGGATGGAGGTATTACATGGAACAATTGCTACATGAAATAATAACTCTTCTCACAAGTACTGAACTGTACATGTAAAAAGCTGTTTAGAAACCCGATTACCATATACGTGGCCAAAATGATTGTCATTCTCCAGGAGAAATCAGGTTTCCCTAATCCCCTTCCGAAATATCCAGGCTACTTATTTACATGATATTTGAGAAATGATTTAAATCCATATAAACACACTGAGTGAAAAAAGGTTCATGGCAATGAGACAGAAGGATGATATCGAGAATAGGTGAAGTCTATCTTACCTAACTTCTAATGTTTCTGGCTCTGTCAATCAACAGCATTACTAATACAGAAGTTCATTCTAATTTGATTTCAGCTGCTGTGATAGCACCTGCTTCTCCACTTAGGTTTTACACATGCATGTTACCTCTGCCTCATCATTGCCATTTTCAAGAAGGTAGCTCAGGGACATGAAAGACCTGAGTTGTGGCAGTATATGGATGGGGCAGACAGGAAAAGCAATAGACTAAATTTCCATACTATATATATAATGTAAAATATACTCAAATGCATACATAAAGATTTTCCAGTGTTGTGTGATTATGGAACTTGTTACTGGAAACCCTGAGTGCAGATCCTGAATAACCTGCATTAGACAGTGCTTGAAGAAAAAGACTAATTAACGGGTGACCTGGAAATGGTCTTCCTCGTTCTGTACTTTGGTCAGGTTAACTTGACAAGGAAACATTAATTTGGTAATCCATGATGGGATAATACTGAATGATTAAGCCCTCGGTCAATATTTTACACATTGTGCACATTCCTGCATAAAAACTGATTCTGTACATATTTTTTCATAATATATTTGTATTTGTTCTATTTGATATTTATGTTCCAAGGCTTTTTTTTAAATCTTTTATTTTGTCTTACTATGTTTATTGTTAATGAGAAAAATATGTTTTGAGAATTATACTTGTGCTTCATCGCTTTCAAATGTGCGTAATACATTTGCATGAATTGACAGAATAGGGTTTTTTAATCAAACAATTCAAATGTTTGAATATGTGAAGAACATAACTACATTGAGTGTGGGGAAAATATGCACAAAGCATTTCAGTGCGAGATTCAGAGAATCTCAAGCAGAGCAGTGTGCCAGCATCTCACAGCAGGATGTATGTGAACTACAGACGGAGCTTGTGCTGTTAAAAGTAACACATCCAATGATTTCAGCTAAACGAACAGCCCGGAAATACTCTGAACATGTATTGCTAGATCATCTATTTGTGCTAATTTTATATTTGTTGTAATAACAGCTGCTTCTTAAACACATTAATATCCACTAACAGGAAAAACTTGCTCAGGCAAAAACGGCTGCAGTGACGTTTGTGCCTGATGAACTTTGCTGTGTTAACACTGAGCATCACAATACACATGAGCAGCTTAGACTCTCCTCGTTGCTCTCTTCTGGCCTTAAACACTGATGAATTGACGGCAGCTGGCAGCTTTCCGAAGAAAATATCATCCAGCCGCCCCCTTATTGGAGAGCCCAATAAAAATATCTATCCATCTCCAGTGGCTAATCAAATGCCAAGATAATGCAAATGACAAGGCAGGGTCAAAATGCAAACCCACAGCCTTCTCACAGATTTAATGAGTTTTATGTTTGTTTGTTTCACATTCTTATATGAGCAGCTGCAAAGCCATAACCAAGGCTGCACTCTGTATTTCTAATATTAATCAGTTTCTCTCCTTACCACTCCGATTTTCATAGAGTATGTGGGAAAATATCTAGCTCAACCATTTTTCGCACCTTCATGCAGCTGAAGTTCATTAAAATCAAATATTTACCTCACAATTATTGATAAATACATGTTTTACACACACTGAAAAAAATATTTCGAAGAGGAAAATAGAGTTTTTTAAACACTGGACATTCGTGAGCATTTTTCAACAAGCTAAAAAGTCTTCAGACAGACAAAGTGGACACAACTTGTTAAAAAGTTTACAATATACGATCTTTGTTACACCCCTCTTTGTTCCCTTGAACACATGGTCGTTTGCTGTAAAGTACTTTGTGATGGACCCGTGTTAAAAGCACTTTATATTACTATAGCATTTAAGAAATAAAATTGACCTGACCAAACCTTTTGTGACTATTAAAGTAATTACGCTCTCTCTCTCTCTCTTTTGCTAGACCTATTGTGCTTTCTATGTGAAGAAGACAGTAGAGTAGTGTGAAACGTGTCTGGTTTTGGTTGTACTGACCAATCTAGTTCTGGCTGAAGGAGATACTGAGTTAATTCTTTGTTATTTTTAACTTATCACCCTATGTTCTATACTTAAAATAATAACAGGAGGCAGGCAGTGTGAAACCTCCTGTAAAAAATTCATAGGTAATAAGCAACACTGTTCAGCTGTCAGAGACCTGAAAATAAGTTACATTTTTCTCTGATATGTAAGATTTTAAAGCAGCATGAGACAACTAACAGAACTCCAAGCAGACTAAATCACTTGTGATCAAGACTACAGGTGCATTGTTTCAAAAAGCGAAATAATTATTTTATTTTATTGTTCAAGGGAAACAGTCTGGAAAAAGGATAGCAACATATGCTGCACAACGACAAACTGCAAAGACAGAGAGGAACAACGGCTGACAGAGACATGATGGGACGATAAACTATATAGGCGGTTAAAACATGGTGATCAACCACCCAGTATAGTACTGTCGTGGTAATCTCTGCACTCTCTGGTCACGTTACTTCATGAGACATTCACATTATTTTGAAAATGCAATATGGTTCACGTGTATATGAGTTTTTTCCAGACTAGACAGTTTTGCCTACCACCAATGGATTCTCCAGCACTCTGGATTTCACTTGTTTGTATTTCTGTTTCACTCATCTTAAATAATAAAGGCCCAAAATATTTGATTTTTTTGCTGTCAATTAATTCCACGAAAATATAAAAACCAATAATGAACTGATCCGACTAACAAATATTGTCTACTATATGTATCTAAAACCCGATAGAGCTTATTCCTCTGTGCTAACAGAGCTCTATTGTTGTTAAGAACTATTAAAAACACAACCATTGGTTCCTTCTTTACTATACACATGGGACTGCAGTTATATATTAACTTTATTTAATCAGGTAGACTTGATGAGAAAGTCTTCAGATCTTATTTTCAAGAAACATTCCTTAATTATTTTAAGTTGATTCCATATACACATTCCTGCTGCCATAAATAGTTGCACGTCATGGGAGTTGTTGACACCACTAGAATAACACCAGCCTTATCCTTAAAGAGTTTTCTGGGACATAGAGAAGACATTTTGAAATAATTAGGTCATGAGCTAAAATTCCTAATATCAAGATAATGTAAGATCATTCAAAAACTGGTCAGTGAAAAAAGCATACTATTTGTTAACTCTATTAAATATATATATAAATTACATCTCAAGACTAAATGAGTTGACAGGTTGTATATTTTTGGAGCAGAGGGGAGGTTCTCAGTGCTTGAGGGCTATGGCCCACATTAGCCCCGGGCTCATAGAGACCACTAATCCAGGTAAGATATTAAGTCACACTTAACTAGTTTCTGAATGAAAGTAGCATTCTCATAGGAAAACTAGGGGTCAAGCATATTCATGCCAGACTACAGCAGCGTAGTAAAGTAAGTCTGTTTTTTTATGTCTACCTTTCATAATGTAGTAGTGCAGCCACGTCTGGCTGTCTACTGATGCCCCTTTGAACTCCTGTCCTGTGGGTCTGCAATATCCAGCTCCTAGTACCATTTTGGCCCGCGGTACAGCTTCAAAAGCTTCAAAGCACACAAGTGACTTGTGACCTCGCAGAGCATGATCCTCTGATGCATGACAGGCTGGGTGGAGGAAGTGCTGTACCGCGGGGATGACATCTAAACGCGTCGGGTCTGGCAGAGGTGTGGGGCAGTGTACACAAGAGATGTGTGACTCGACTGCAAAGTTGCTAAGTGTGCTGTTTGGGAACTCTAATTACCCACAGGAAAGTACAACAAACTAACAACTGGTCTCGAACCCCAAAGACAGATTCTGACATTTATGAGAAGGTCAAAGTTAATTACCGTGTGAGACTCTATTCATGGGAAGGGTACAACAGGAGTTTGTTTGTGTCAAAAAATGCTTCCAAATTTGAATAAGAAGGTTACTCGTGTCACAATCCTAATGTTACAGTGACATATTGACAGTTGGTGAGACTAATGTCAAATACCACCTTAATCAATTAGTACGCATGCCAAAAATCCCTGATGTGGAGCATGATAGAGGGACATATTGGAGATGGTAGCCTTGGACAAATAGTCTATTAATCAATAGACAAAAAAGTAAATGACGACAAATTTGATAATCTATTCACCTTTGTAATTTATTAAGCCAAAATGGCAAAAATTCACTGGTTTCATCATAACAAATTTGCTCTGATTCACATCAGCGTAAATTTAATCTCTTTGGGTTTTGCACTGTTTATGAGACAAAACCAGAAGATATCTAATTTATAAGGATATAAACATGAGAAAAGCAGCAAACATTTGAGTGGCAGAAACAGTGAACGTTTGGCATTTTTAGATTACATTTATTTTCTGGTGACTGACAATTCAGTTAATCGACCTGCCATTCTTAGTCGCAGCCCTGGTGTATCCCAGCATATAAGGAATAAAAAATGAGAGACAAAAAATGTCTTCCTGAGTGGATGGAGGGGTGCATGAACAATTGTTCCTGCTTCCAAACCAGGAGACAAAGAGAGTATAGATAGTATCACCATTACTTCCCTCACAGAGGCTCTATCATTGCAGGATATAAACTATTAAGAACTGACAGGATAAATTATTGAGAGCTGGATCCATTATCCCTTGGATAAAAACAGAGTCTGGCATCATGACTTATACATACAAGTTTTTCGCGCAGAGTCCTCCACAAATAGCGAAGATATGTCCTCATCCACGCCAGCCTCATTTTTGGCAATGCAGGTATAGGCGCCGGTGTCTTCAAAGTGTACGTTGCTGATGTGCACCTCACTTCCATTAGCTTTGAAGAACAACAGAGGGAACAGACAAAAAAAAAGACAGTTTGCCCTCCAGGAAGAGATAAAAAAGTGACTTCCACGCTACCATTACTCTGTTACATAACAGTTCTCTATTATGTTAGAAAGGGAGGTGAGAGGTTTGTTCAAAAAGGGAGGAGTTGAAAGTAAGAATGTAGCACATGCTGTGTTTGTGTGAGCACTGGTACAGGTTTGTGATTTAGCATTTTTCTGTACAACCTCAAAGAAAAAGCATTTGGCTTTACTTTTTATTGAAAGAGAAAGAAGAACTTTAAAACGATGCCAAAGAATATGATACTGGGACAAGACAATAAACCAAATTTACACCAACATTATGAGCCTCTCATATTGCAGTTATCAGCCAACATATTTAAACTAAAAATAGCCACAATAACCATTGATGTCTGACCAGAAGTTCAGCCAACCAATCAGCTAACAGGCCAGCATCAGAAGTGAGACAGCATAAAAAGGAAATGCTTGCACTGAATGTTACATTTACTGTTATTGAAGTACATCTGGTCATTTATCTTGAGATTTTATGTTGTATCACTCAGCCCCATTTTATACACAAGGTTAATTATTATTAGCAGCAGCAGTATTAGTAAGGGTGATAGTAGTCATTGTCATATAGTGAACCCTTTTTTAGTGGTAGTCGCAGCATTTGTGGGAGCAACTGTAGTAGTGAAAATAATAATGGAAGTAGCAGTAGTGGGAATAAAAATGTACTGGTGTACATGCAGTGAGCAGTAAACTCTTGACTCATCTGTACCTTGCAGGGTGAGCTGTTTGGACAGCTTGGTTGTGATGTCCATGCCGTTCTTCAGCCAGGCCAGCTGTGGGCTGGGAATGCCCTCAGCATGGCAGCGCAGGCTGGCAGTGACGCCCGGCTCCCTCGCTTGGCTCTCTGGGTACACTCTGATAACGGGAGGAACTGGAATAAAGTGAAAAAGAGGAGAGGCAGACAGCTGAGATGGGGGAATGAATAAATACTCTACATCCCATACTGTTGTTTACATTAGTACCACTTGAGGAGTGTGGCAACCTTATTGAATGTAAAGTTATAAAGAAGATGCCATGTCCTGAACTTATGGTTTTGCATTAGCATACACTATCAATAGGATTGAGTGTATTTTCAGCATTGCCGAATGCCTTTAGATAAGGTTAACGTGCTCTGTGAAGCCAAACAAATCAGATAGATAAATAAGGGAGAGGACCTCTGTTCAGACGTTATTGATTTTGCTTGGTTGCCATTGATTTTATGTAACCTTTTGTCAGGAAGGAGATGAGGGGATAGAAGCAGAGAAAACAAAAAGCGTGAAGAAAGAAAAGGCACAAACTAAATGTCACTCTCATCTGCAAACTATTCCAAAAGCTGACTTTACACATTGCTGCACACTGTGCCACTGTCATGCTAGAGTTTCACTTTTTTACTCTACCCTGAAGCAAAAACAAACAAACAAAAAAAAAACCCTCTCCTACATACTGTACTTCCAGTACCATAAATCAACATAAATCAATAAAACACACAAATACATTAATAATATGCATTTATGCATTGGCTGAGAATATGCCACAAGTTTTGCTCTACACCCGGGGGCTAACTTGTTAGAGTCTTGCTCCACAAAACATGGAAAACATCCAAAGAATGAATTTGAATAATCCTTTAGAGGAAGAAGTCTTCTCAGAATAGCATAACAATGATAAAACCTTTCAAAAGGATAGTAGTATATCTGAAGAGACTCTCCCATAGAAATGGACTGAAACTTGGACAGTGGCAGTGAACTGTTACAGAGTGACCATAAAAAAGCCGCATTAGTCATTCCACAACAGCCTGTCACATATAAGGATGACAACCTGGCAGAAGTTTAAGTAGGAACATCAAATTTCTCTATCTTGCCATCTTGTTTTGAGCAATCCCTCATAGCCTCTGTGGCCCAAATCAGTGTCCTCTTTTTTTCCTTTCTGAAACAGACTTCAGAGACACAAGCGGAGGATGGAAGCAAGAGTCTTGGCAGAAGCAAAGAAGGCAGACGTGCTGTGGAGACCATTTCCTGTGGGCACTGGGTTAGAGGAAGTCTTTACTCAGCCAGGTGAGTGGAAGGACTGAAGACCGTTGCCACGGCCATCTGGTAACCACAGCACTCCCGGGCTTTGGAGCTCACGTCAACCTGAATGCCAACACGCCATCCACAGTGGGCCTCTTACAGCACCCAGGTTAGTCCACCAATTACAGTCACAGAGACACTCCAGTCACGCAGATGCCCGCCTCAGCAGTGTCAAGAGGTTGACTGAATAGAACCCAATAGACGATAAACCCAATTTGGACAATCTTTTGACTGAATATTATTACTCACACTTAATATTGTCACAAACGTGCCATACAAGCATACAGAAGCTCTGGCCCTAAATCTACGCTTGTGTGAGATACAATAAAAGTGGTAATCAAAGTATTCCTAAAGGTAGTGTCTAACATTAAGGAGGATCTATTGGAAGAAATGGAATATAATATTCATAGATATGTGTTCATTAGTGTCTAATCACCTGAAAATAAGTAATATTGTGTTTGCTTTACCGTGGAATGAGCCATTTTTATCAGCATGGAGGTCGCAATGTCCAACCGAACCCTGTTCCTACAGTAGCCCAGAGTGGATAAACCGAACACTGGCTCTATATAGGGCAGTCTGCACTTTTCGCACGTTCCACAGCCATAGTTTCTGCCTTGCACTTGGAAAGAGAGGGTGAAACCAGTGAGTCTGCAACTACACTGCTAGATGCTACGCACTGGCCTTTTAAAACAATATGTAGGCTACTGTAAACTCTGGGATTAGTGTGTCTTGTATTTTCATTTTAAAGGACCTCCTTTTGTTTAGATAACACCACCTCTGACATGTTTGCAGGTGTGTCCTCAACTCTTCAAGTTACATATTAATAAAGAAAATCTGATGATAAACTCTGAAAATTATTATCTACATAATGAAACAAAATTAAAAGTCTGATACTGGTAATGAAGAGGATTAGAGCTGAAATAAGTAGTCTGGTTGATTAGTCAATCCCTAGGAAATTAACTGGCTACTGTTTTGATAATTGATAAATCCTTTGAGGTACTTTTGAGAAAAATTTGCAAAATATTTTCTGGTTCAAGCTTCTTAAATGTGAGGATTTGCTGCTTGTCTTAAAGTGAATTTGGACTGTTTGTTAGACAAAACAAGCAATTTAAAGACTTTACCTTGGACACATTTTTGCATTTAACAAGCAAAACAATAAAAACAATGCCTGCAGATTAATCAATAATGAAAATCCTTAGTTGTTGCCCCACAGAGGATATCTTTTAGTGTCCTGCTTTTCTTCCATTACTAAAGATGGAGACATAAATCCAGCAGAGCACTAAAAGCAGCCAGAAACCAAGTTCTTCCTCCTTGACTGTACAGTCAGTACATAAATGAATGATTTGCTGGATGTGTTAAAGACTAACCTGCACTGATGCAGAAGATCAGAGACACAGATAATTGGAATCATGTACAAAAGGAGCTGAATAACCAGGTGCCTCTATGCTCCATGTAATCTTAATATCCCAAATATGATCAAAACTAGGATACTGGAGTGCATGTAAATGTACTCATTACGAAGGCAACAGTCAACACTTCCCTTCTCTCAGGCTGAAGTTAAAAGAAGCAAATTATGCTCAGTTTTGAATAAAATTAAATGAATCCTGAATTGTAACTTTATAGAAAAGTTTTTTCATTTAAGTGCAAGATAGATAATATATGATACATATGTAGATATGTTTCTGTGTGTGTGTGTGTGTGTGTGTGTGTGTGTGTGTGTGTGTGTGTGTGTGTGTCGCAGCGGTTTGGGGTCATGGCACACATGGCACACACTGTTGCTGCTCGCCCAAAACCACAACAACCTATTAATCAACAGCCGTATAGTGCAAGCATGGATCGACCAGGTTCCCTTGAGTGCCTCATTAATAAATCCTCTCAGGCAATCTCACAAAGCTGCGTTAATTAGTGTGTTGGAATTAAGTCAAAATAGGTCCATAAGCTTTTTTATTCAAGAAAAATGTGTAATACTGCCACAGTGGTCAGTGAAATTCAAGTTAGTTTTGACTTTACCTGAGTAAAAAGGTTCAGCACTCACATACAGTACAGTATAATATAAAAGTAGAATAAATCAGTCTTCATTCTGTGCTTGGTATATGCCCTATTGATCTGAATCTAACATGATTTTTAGTTAATTTACAGAAGCTATAGTTGAAAAAGTAAGGGTCATCTTCATGGACATGTGTATTTATGCATTAAAATAGTGTGTAGAGTGAAAATAAAATGATCTGGATGTTACTCCACTAGCTGCTTTCAAGAGGTGGTTTCCTACACTAATCCACCAATTAATACTTACTCTTCTTGTATTTACACATGTACACATTCATATTTCTTTTAACTTTCAGAATCTATGTGGAAACAGGCGCGGAAAATGAGAGATAGTCTAAGGATGTCATGGACAGGAAGGTCTTTTGTATTGGACCAATACAGTATATAGAAATATCTTCTGATGCTATTGAGACAGATGGAAAACTGATAGCATGATGTCGAGTTCACATCTCATCTTTTTTTGGTAAATGGCGTGTGTGATTTGAGGAGATGGAACTCGTTTGTACTTTGTGCTGAAGATGTGTGCCTATGATCCAATCAGAGCCGGTAGCACTGCTACAGGAGTCAGATAGGTTACGTTAAAAGTGTAGGTGCAGTGTGTAGAGGTGCAATTACAGTGTAGGTAAGTGCAGGTCTGATCAGTTCTGTGAATGGGTGTACAGAGGTTGGCTGAGGCAGAAGTTGAAGTTGAGTCCTTTGTAGGTTTCATGGGCCTAATTCAACCAAACATCTGTGCTGGGAGGGTTCCACTGTCTGCCAAAACTTTGATAACCCAGCCTAGTTTCCTCAAATATTCAAGTGAGGTTTCTATGCAGGTATTCACCCCAGTTCAACCGGCATGATTACATAATTAACTATGTTGGGACACATAGAAACACTGTTTAAATATTTGTATGAAAACTGAGCATATTGAGTAAGCAGAGGGGTGTCTGAGTGGAATTTTTTTACTGGAATTGTTACTAAAAAGGGAATAAGTAACAATATTGTTACATGAATGTTAAATCTGAAGAACAAATCGAAATGTTCTTGATCATTTGGAGTGAATTTTAGGATTGTATGCAAGGAAGGATAGATGTGGACTATAGTTTATATTTTCAGACTTGTCCGGTGATACAAATAGGTCTGTTGGGGTGCCTACTGGTGGTTATTTCACATGGTTAGGGGAACAATTGACCAATCAGAGCTCAGCTGGTGGGATTAGAAATGAGGACGTCATCTTTTGGCATGACTAGTTAACTAGATTAATGATGAATAGCAACAGAAAAATGGCCACAATTGTGGATGAGATGGACACAGCTATAAAGGTTGTTATAAATTGACGTAAAGTAAAAACTGTGAACTGCTCTCAGTAACTCAGCTTTCTTGTCTGAAAATGACATTTGGAGGATTGTATATGTGTCAGTCTGTATTGATTATTCTGATTTAGACTTTGACCTTGTGTGATTGTTCTGTCAATTTCTAGGAGTATGAAATTTAGATGGATTGAGAGTAGCGTTTAAATTGATTTTGAAAAGATAGAGTTGTTAAAATGGGCAATATGTGACCTCACAGCATGGGGTGAGAAAACTACCACCCAATAATTTTTGTGGAAGAAAAATCTCATTATTGATAAACATCAATGAATAAATGTTATCTTCACTGAGTTGTGAATGTTTGCCTTTTATAACTACTGTTTAACAATGTAGCTCACCCCTTCTCACCTCATCCTTAAGCCAGAGAAGCAATTTAAAAACCAGTGTCACCACAGTTTGCATTGTATTAGCTCTTATAGATTTTTCTG